CATGACGCTTCATCGACGGACTCACCTTCGGATCCACGCATCACCGAACTTCTCGACGCCTACAGTGACGTGTTCGAAGGCCCGCACGGAGTAGTACCGGATCGACCCATCCGCCACGAGATCATCCTCGAGGACGGGGTCGTACATCCGCGTGGTTGCATCTACCGAATGAGCGAGGAAGAGTTAAGTGTGCTTTGGGCACAACTCGACGACCTTCTAGAGAAAGGTTGGATTCGACCTAGCTCATCGCGATACGGTGTTCCTGTTCTCTTCGTCCGAAAGAAGAACAAGGACCTGCGGTTGTGCATCGATTATCGCAAGCTCAACGCGCAGACGATCAAGAACGTCGGCCCTCTCCCACGCATCGACGACCTTCTCGAGCAATTGGGCGGCGCCCAGTTCTTCTCTAAGCTGAATCTCAAGTCAGGGTACCACCAACTCGAGATTCGCAAGGAGGATGGCTACAAGACCGGTTTCAAGACTCGGTATGGGCATTTCGAATGGCTGGTCATGCCATTTGGCCTTACGAATGCCCCAGCCACTTTCCAAGCGGCTATGATGACGGAGTTCCGACACATGCTGGATCGTTTCGTACTTATCTACCTCGACGACATTCTGGTTTACAACCGGAGTCTGGACGAGCATGTGGAACACCTGCGCACCGTTTTGGAGCGGCTACGACAGGCCAAGTACAAAGCAAACCGCGACAAGTGCGAGTTCGCATAGCAGGAGTTGGAGTACTTGGGACACTATGTGACGCTGCAAGGCATCCGTCCGCTTGCGGACAAGATCGAGGCCCTACGAGTATGGCCCGAGCCCACCAACACCACGGACGTTCGTTTATTCATTGGGTTGGCGGGCTACTATCAACGATTCATCACCGGATACTCCAGGATTGCTGCACCTATGACGAGGTTACAGTCGCCAAAGGTGCCATTCGTATTCGATGACGATGCACGCCGGTCATTCCAAGCACTTAAGATGGTTATGCTCATGGCACCCGTCCTTAGCATTTATGACCCCACCTTGCCGACGCGAGTGACTACGGACGCGTCCGACTATGGCATTGGAGCAGTCTTGGAACAGCACGACGGCGACGACTGRCACCCTGTGGAGTATTTCAGCCACAAAGTGCCTCCCATCAACTCGCTTGATGATGTAAGGAAGAAGGAGTTGCTCGCATTCGTGATGGCTCTCAAACACTGGCGGCACTTCCTCCTTGGGCGTCGTAGGTTCACATGGATCACAGACAAYAATCCAYTGACCTACTACAAGACGCAGGACACGGTGAGCAGCACGATCGGACGATGGATGTACTTCATCGACCAATTTGACTTCACACCAAAGCATGTCCCCGGCCTCTCCAATCGCGCAGCAGATGCACTCTCGCGAAGACCTGATCTTTGAGCTATGACACATCATGCCTTGGCATTCGACGAGGAGCTTCAACGACACTTCATCCGGGCATATCAGTCTGATCTGGACTTTGGCACGCTCTATGCACAGCTATCTTCGGATCACCCGCCGGCCAACCATTACCGCATTGCCGACGGGTACTTGCTCCTCCACTCGAGAGGCAAGGACTTACTATGTGTCCCACGCGACCGTCGTCTTCGGACTCGCCTTCTCGGCGAGTACCATGATTCACGACTCGCCGGCCATTTCGGAGTCAACCGCACTATTGCACGACTTCGACAGCGATTCCGATGGCCCGACCTCATTACCGATGTCACTCGGTATTGCGACTCTTGCGAAGTTTGCCGACGCAGCAAGCCCCGCAACCGCAATCCCTACGGCGAGTTACACCCGATGCCTATCCCAGGGGAACCCGGTCTCTCCATTGCCATGGACGTCACCGGTCCGTTTCCTCGCGACCGTCTCGGGCACGACGGCATCCTCACGGTTSTGGACCGATTGAGTAAGTACGCGCGTTTTCTCCCTTGCAAGTACTACTCCACGGCTCCCGAGCTGGCAYGCCTCCTGCACACTGGTTGGATTTGTGGCCACGGTGTACCAGAAGACATTGTMAGCGACCGCGACACTCGTTTCATGTCGGCGTTTTGGACTGCTCTCATGCAGGAGTCCGGCACAACAATGAAACCAAGTTCGGCTCGACACCCTCAGACAGACGGGCAGACGSAGCGGGCACATCAGACCGCTCAAATGATGCTTCGTACGCTCATCCGTCCGGACCAGAAAGATTGGGTTGACCGSCTCCCCGACATCGAGTTCGCCTACAACACTTCGGTGCATCCGGCGATCGGCGTGACTCCATCGAGTTGCACCACGGTGGATGGAAAGGCCGGATCTTCGCCGACCTTCTCCTCCCTCGACCAGCCGACATTGACACTGCCTGCTCTCCCTCTTCCGTCCGGAAGTACAGGGAATTGCTGACTCAAGCCCGC